ACATACAGCCTCACAACCCAACGACCCCACCCTGGAGTCCCTGCCTCGCCCCTAAGGCTCTGCTTCTCATACTTAACGGGCATGAACAGACCAAAAATGGCTCAAGAAGATCTCAAAGCCCCAGAGCCCATAAATCTAAGCGACGAAGAAATAGCAGAACTTTCAGATGCACAGTTCAAAACACTGGTGATCAGGATGCTCACAGAACTGGTTGATTTTAGTCACAAATTAGAGGAACATATGAAGGCTAAACTAATTAAAATGAATGGAAATGCACAGGAAACCAATAGTAATGGAAAGGAAACTGGGACTCAAATCAAAGGAGTGGACCAGAAGGAGGATAAAAATGACCAACCAGAAAAGACTGAAGAAACAAGAATTCAAAAAAATGAGGAGAGACTTAGGAACCTCCAGGACATCTTTAAACGCTCCAACATCTGAATTATAGGGGTACCAGAAGGGGGAAAGGTACAGCCACCAGTGGAAAACATTTGAACAAATAATAAAGGAGAATTTCCCCAATCTGGCAAAGGAAATAGATTTCCAGGAAATCCAGGAACCTCAGAGAGTCCCAAAGATGTTGGACCCAAGAAGGAACACACCAAGGCACATCATAATTATGTTAGCCAAAATTGAAATGAAGGAGAGAATCCTAGAAGCAGCAAGAGATAAGGGGACAGTCACCTACAAAGGAGTTCCCATCAGACTGTCAGCAGATTTCTCAAAAGAGACCTTACAGGCAAGAAGGGGCTGGAAAGAGGTATTCTAAGTCATGAAATCCAAAGACCTACAACCAAGATTGCTCTATCCAGCAAACTTTCATTTAGAATGGAAGGACAGATAAAATGCTTCTCAGATAAGGTCAAATCCAAGGAGTTCATCATCATCAAGCCCTTATTATATGAAATGTTAAAGGGATTTATCTAAGAAAAAAATTAAAAATATGAACAGTGAAAGGACAGCAAACTCACAGTTATTAACAACCACATCTAAAACAAAAGCAAGCTAGAAGGACAGCTAGATCAGGAGCAGAACCATAGAAATGAAGATCTCATGGAGGGTTAGCAACAGGCGAGTGGGAGAAGAAGGGGGGAGAAGGTACAGAAAATAAGTAGCATAGACGGTAGGTAGAAAATAGATAGGGGGAGGGCAAGAATAGTAAGGGAAATATAGAATCCAAAGAACTTGAGACACATGTTCATAAACTAAAGGGGGGGAAATGGTAGGGGTGGGGGTGCAGGGTGGAGGGGAATGAAGGGGGGAATAGAACAACTATAATGGCATAATCAATAAAATAAAAATTTTTTAAAATGTGGTAAAATATATGACACATAAAAGTTAACCATCATAAGTATTTTTAGGTGTAGAGTTCAGTGGCATTAAGTTCATCTACACTGTTGAGCAACCACCACCAGCACTATCTCCAGAACTTTTTCATCTTCCCAGACTGAAACTCTGCACCCATTAAACAAGTGACTGTTCTCCCTCCTCCCAGCCTTGGCGCCCACCATTCTGCTTTCTATCTCATTATTCTAGGTTCCTCATCAGAGGAATATGACAGTATTTGTCCTTTTGTGACTCACTTAACTCCACTTCCCATAATGTCCTCAATGTGAGCTCTTTTATTTTTAAATAGTGAAATATTGGTACAGAGAGGGCCACATAACATCCACATACAGTTTAATAGATTGTTGTAAAGCAAACACTCATAAAACCACTAACCAAGTCCACAGTAAGACCCTTGCCAACACCCTGGGAAGCCTTAGTGAAACACCTTGATTCCTACTTCCCCCTCGAATGCCGGATTGGTGACTGTTCAGACGCCCTATTCATGAGCGTGGGAAGAGTTATGTACGTACTTGTGCTCATATGCTGTGTATTAGGCAGGACCACTGCGAATGGCAGTGCTTCCTGTGCTGAGGTCGGGCTGTACAGCCTGGTGAAAGGTACTCTTGTAGAAATTGAGAGTGGGCACTATGGGCCTGTTCTCTATTTGAGTGTCTTTGGTTATATTTTGCTTGCATGTTTGTTGTGTTGTTTAAGTTCGTGTTAAAGGTGAGATGACAGTGAGCAGAGGGGAGAGGGGAGGGAATTTCAGGGGAAAGGGGGAAGGATTTACAGGAACACGTATAAAGGACACGTGGACAAAAACTACAGGGGGTGGAGATGGGAGGGAGGTGGGGAGCACTGGGGGGTGGACTGGGATTGGAGTAAAAGATAGAAAACTCTACTTGAACAACAGTTAAATTTTTTAAAAAACAGTAAAAAAAAAAAAGAAATTGGGAATGGGAACTCTGTGGTCTCTGGCCACAAGAGCTTATAAGCTAGTAGAATCAACTTTAAATAAGAGAAATAAAAACAATCTCAGTCTGCCTAGGAAATATGTTGTACATGTGTCTGGCTCCATCATCAAGGGAGCAGAGCAATTAAATTTGGAGAAGTAGCAGCCGAGTTTTAAAAATTTGAGGGGTTTACTGAATGAATGGTAGGAGATGATGGTGAAACTCTATTTCAAAAGCACTGTTTATGGGAGATGAGAGAGCAGTCTTGTAAGAGATTGAAGTCCCTGATGAGAACATTCCTGAACAATTTGAAAAGCCCAAGGATGGTAAATCATGGGGAATGGGTGACATTTATCCTGAAGGTCTAAAAGAAATAAACTGTGACAGGGGATTCTGACAAGGAGGTGTAATAGATCCTAACACAGCCCTGCTTCTAAAGATTGGGAGGCTCTAATGCGGCACCTGCCTTTTAAAAAACTGCCCAGGGAAAGCCAAGGAGTACAGGGAGGTAAACCTAATCTCCCTCCAGAGGAGCTGACTAAAAGCCTTGTCTGTGTAGAATGGCCATGATTCAGTTCTATTGTAGCATCCTTCATGCAGGAGGCTCAAGTGGCTTTACCAGTGGAATTGCTTATAGCTCCACTCTGAAATAACTGTGTGTGTGCACTGGCTCTCCTAACAAATACAAAAGCCATAACAATCTACACATACCCTGTGCCTCAGTGACTCACAACTCAAGCAATCTATGGACAGGAAGCCTAAGGTTTTAAGCAAAATATATTCTAGGAAACTAGTTCTTAAAGCAGATCACCAGGAGAAAAATTCTGACCACTTACGTGTCCATTCCTGAATTACTATTGTCTGTTTGGGCACCAACTATAAAGATAGTGAGGAGAAAAATGTGGTGTTTCTTATGCAGCACATGAAAACAGCAACAACTGACCTTTATCCGTCACTTACTACATGCCTGGCTTTTATCTAATCTCTGTCTGTGTTTTACTTCAATGCTCACAATAATCCCATGAGGTAGGCACTTTCCACCCTCACTTTATAGATAAGGAAACTAACACACAGAGAGATTAAACAACTTGTGCAGAATCAGGAGTGAGGGGTTGTAGCCTGCATGCCAACCCCGGAGCTCACGCAGGTAACCACTCCCGGTATTATCCTTTGAGCAGAGCAGGAAGACATGGCTTCTTCCAAGTTTTTCTCCTTGTCTGACCCACTTTGTCACCACATTCCAGGTAAATTTATTGAGCCCTGACTAATTATTAGGCACTGACATGACATAATATGACTATCAATCATGAACTAAAGTGAAAAGTCCCACCAATGAAGGAAGGTTAGAAACTGCACATAATTTCCTCCTTGAAAACAAACAGAACATTCATCCACAGGGGTTGAACTTGAGGGAACAAGATGAAGTGTTCACTTGTACCCATTAGGAAGTTTCAAACCAACCCTTTGCTCCAATGGCTGTGGATAAAACGGTCTGTCACCTGCAAACCTTCTGGCCCTTACCTCCAGCTGGGGTGTAATTTCTCACCCACTAACCCTCGTAAATTGTTGAGAAGAGTTAGCGGCTGAAAGGCAGGGCCTTCCACTGGCCCAGCACCACTGGAAGTGAACATTGGCAGCCTATCTCTTTCATGCCACTCCTTGGAAGCCAGAAGTGCTCCCTTTTCAGAGCAGCTAGCTTTTATCTATTCTAAATATTGCGTTTGGGTGTAAGCTTTAATTGGAAGGAAATGTTCCTCTGCTAAAAACAGCATTAATTTAGGGAAATAATTTTTAAATCACATAATTTTTCAAAAACCAAAAGATTCACTTTTTATTCACTTAAAAAAATTGGGGGGTGGGGAAAGGGACCAACTATATTCCAGGTCTTAAATTAGAGGTCAGGAGTAGAGCAGTGAGGAAAACTCCTGCCTTCACAGGATCTTCTGAACTTTGGTTTTTAAAATATACTTTTTCAAGGAAATAATTGAGCTATCTCAGTGGTATTTTTGGAGAAAATTTTGCATTCAGAAGTAAATGTAGCTAACTAGTCCTTCAGATGCAGCCCTGTGCAGTCCTTGCTGCATGCCGGACAGTGTGCCTGACGATCTTTGTTTCATTTCACCCTTAAAACAGCATGTGTGGTCATTCCCTCCTCCAGATGTGTTGCTCAGGCTTGCTGGCATAATTGAGTGGCAGGTATTCCCATGACTGATGGGAAACAGCCTTGCTCTACCTGCCTATGCCCTCCGGTGCAGAGGGAGGGCTCAGAGAAATCACGGATGATGACTGAGGTTAGAACCACGTCCGCACCTCCCAGAAGGCTGGGCTGTGGTTTATAACCATCATTTGTCAAGGTGGTTGTCATAAGCAACCTTCAAAATCTCAGGGCTTGTATGTGATTTACTGAAGTTACTAAACTTTCAATCCAAGAAATAATTCTGGTGTGATTCACAGGACTCTTGTGTGGAAGTTTCAGACCTCTGCCAACTCTATACATTTGTAGATGATCAAAGAATAGTGAATGGGATTTACTGAAATGCAAAGAATTATAATTCTTCAGTCTTAATAGAAAAATAGGAAGTATGGAAACTGTAGTATTTAATTCTTTATCTTTAAAGCAGAATGGATGTGGATGATTTCCATATAATGTGCTTATATTCTGGGGCTCTGAGCATCTCAACAGGTTGCTTTGTTCATCGTTTTTCTTTTCTTTTTCAGATGACCATTCGCGTGTGAGGCTGCAGACCATAGAAGGAGACTCCAACTCAGACTACATCAATGGGAATTATATCGATGTATGTACCTAGAAACTGTCAGCGAGCCCACTGTTCTGGCACATACCACATGGTGCGTCTGCCACAAGACTGGTGGACACATGTTGGTCTAGCACCAAAAGCAAACACATTAGCATTGCCCCATACACACGCCATGGAACTTTAGGGGAGGTTATGGCGACTCCTTTCTCTTGCCAGCCTATTGACTGGTAACTCCTCCGTAGCGTTCAGTGCCATTTTAGCCATCCCTTTCTGTGTGGACTCGGAAGATGCTATTTCCATTTTTTGTCAACAACTTTGATTATTCGACATGTTAAAAAATCTGTTTGCATATTAATAGAACAAAACTCTCTAATTCCTAATTCAATGATTTGACATCTCTTGTCATCACCACACTTTCAAGTTGCCTTCAAAGTAGTCTGCAGCTGTTAACCAGGACTTCTAATGCACGCAAGACATGCTATTAAATATGCAGGCAGTTTAATTATTGAAGACTGCTTCTTTGTTCATTCCGCATCGTCTTAACTTAATGTCTTACATTAGAATAAATTCTTTAGGAGACAGCATGTTTTCAGTTGAAAGAATGAGTCAAATCAAAAGTAGACTAAAAATCGAGGGAAAATTGCTGTTAACTGTGTGGCCCAAGTGTTTACATTAAACAGATTTCAGCCTCTAATTTACAGTTCCCAAGCCATTCTCTGCTTGGCCATCACACTACTTCCTTGTCCACCAGTATTTTCATGGGCAGGCTTTATATTTTTTTCTTTTATTTTCTTGGTTGGTATTACTCAGGTGCCACTAAAAGTCCTTGTATCACAATCTCGAGGATTCACCTAAAAATAACTGTAAGATTTTTATTTTTACTCTTACTTGGAAGAGGTTGACAGTTTGGTTTTAGATTTGAGTATGGGGCCTGGAAGATTGTTTGCAGAATAATTCATATCTCATTCCTGAAATGAAGATCTCTATACAATTTTGATAATGACCAAAAACATACTCAACACAAGTTACATTTTTTTAGTAAAGTGCATTGCATTTATTCTTTTAATTCAGTAAGTGTTTAGTGAGTATCTTACATGAGTACCCAGAGGTGTGCGAGACATGTTACCTTGTCCCCAAGGCCTCACAATTTAGAAATGCAGTAAGAAACTTCTTTTTAATAGCACCCCTGCTTTGGGGATATTCCAAGGGAATCTTCTTCATGCTCCACTGTCGGCTCCTGCAACCCCTGCCAGGACTTTGAGCACAGGAACAGTGTCCTGCTCATCTCTGTGTCCCTGCACATGATACATGCTCGAAATATTGTACGCACTTAAAAGTGTTTGATGAATCTGACTGAAGAAGTGTATGTGTTTAGATTGAGCATTATAGTAGAGTAATTGGAACTAAGCTTTAAAAAAATGAGTGGGTAGCAAAACAGAGGAAGAAAGACATGAAAGTAATGAAAATACCAGATTAATTGGTTTTAATTTTAACAAAGAAAAGAGTCAATATTCAGGGTGATATTCTTTGTTACCTGTGTGTAACTCTCTCTAAATTGACTTTACCCTTCCCAGATGCTGATTCTAGTGTTCGTTGTGCCCTTTTTATGTGGTCTCAGTTTTCACCTTTCCTCTTCTTATAGGGTCATGATAAAAGGAAGGGGTCTTATAGAATTTCTACCTCTTTAAATTTCTGGCCAATGCTACAGCATCATGTCATGGCACTAGCAGTGTTTAAGAATGATGTTTAGTATTGCTATTGATAGAACTGCCTATACCAATATAACAGAATATGTGTTAAAACCTTGGCACATTGCCAAAAACACCCAAACATAAATGAAATTCTGTTGTACATTCCCCTCCTGTTTGTATTCTAATAATAGTCATGGTCATGTAATTTTGGAGAATCCCTAAATTGTTGGTGTTCATTACTCATCTATTATCCCACAGCCAGCGTGCGGTTCAGTTACCCACACCCCCTCTGCAAGCATCAGAACTGTCATATTTGATGCACCCTCAATTATTAAGAATTCAGTAGTACTTGGTCTGATTACTTAAGTGATGCACATGTTAGTGTTTGTGAGTGCATTCATTTTGGCAAACCTAGCATGTGACTTCTGTGCTGCTTATTGATTTTAAGTTTGTCAAATATTTTTTCTCATTTATTTTTAGGGCTATCATCGACCCAATCATTATATTGCTACCCAAGGTAAGTTTGTTTCTGCTTTGATGTCTCTCTTTGGTAATTTGCCTGGTTTCTATCATCTCCACCCTCCCTCAGGATGACATTTGCATTCTGTGATAGCATCATTCATTGCAGTTCTAGCCACCAATACATACACCCTGTTTCATCAGCAGAAGTTCCGATAATGTAATGGTTTAGCTAGAACTTCAGGTTGAGATCATTACAAGAATTGTGCTCATCAATTCATTATTGAATTAAATCTGTCTACCTTAGGAATTAATCTAACATTTGCAAAAATATATACATGTATATTTATTAAATAAATACATACTGAATACCCTCTATTGCAAAGCCCAGTGTTGGCTGCTGCCAGAAATGCAGCTGAATCAGCAAGCTGCCTTTCTCACACTGGCTGTGGTTTAGTGGGGAGGTCGTGAGGTGACCTACATACTAGAAAGGATGATACCAATTAAAAACCTGTGTGAGAGGTACAGAGAAAATGTTAGGGAAACTTGGAGAAGAAAATATATTTTGGATCAGATGCAGTGATCCGAAAACAGCTTTGTGGCAGAGGTGAAACTGGGAGAACTTCTAAATGGTGGGGACACCCTGAGCAAAGATCTGAGTTCAGGAAATTAATACTCATCGGTGGAAAGCAGATGGTGAACCACTTTGGCTAAAGGAAAGCCAAAATAAAGCTACAGGAACATGTTGAGGAAGTTCGTGGCCTGGTTTTTTGTATCATCTTCCCCACCAGCTATGAAGTGAGTCATCTATGGAGAATGAGAATCATGGGAATTCTGAGGTTTTCAGGAACAAGGCATTATAAAGGAGGAGTTAGTGAGTCAATGTAAGATGAATTAAAGAAGTGCTGAGGGGCAGAGAGGACCCAGTAGGGTTAAAGGACACCCATTCTCTCCATTTTATTATTTTATCACTGTGTCCGGTAATGCATTACATCTTGGAAACAGGAGCAGGAAAATCAAAAGGGTGTGACCAGCCGATGGCCAGGGATTAGCAGGGGGCTGTACACAGAAAGTCAAGAAACAAGGGAGTCAAGGATGCCAAGAAAATTGTGGTCGAATGTCTAGGCTTGGTGGGAGAGGGGTCAGAGGTATCTGATGGACCACAAGGAGAGGGAAGGAGGCCAGGTTCAGTTAAAGAGTCATAGATAGAAGAGGAAGTTGTGGCCAGAGAGCAGAATTCCAATAGAAATTCCTGCAGTGGTAGAAACTGTCTGTTTCTGTGCTGCCCAATATGGTAGCCACTGGTCATGTATGGCTACTGATCGTCATAAAGTATCTACTATGAATGAGGAACTGAATTGTAAATTTTAATATTGATTTAAATAGATGCATTTGGCTATTCCCTACTGGTAATGTTGTACAGCACAGCTATCGGATGGAAAACTCTCAGTAACAGGGCCACCCTGGAGCCTTATCCTAAGCCTGACAGCCTCAGCCAACACCCATGTGGCACCATTTGCAGAGTCTAGCAGGAGTGTCCAACCCACCGCCCGGGACAGCTATGAATGTGGCCAACACAAAATCATCATTTACTTAAGCCCTTTTTCTTCTGCTCATCAGTTTTCATTAGTGTTTGTGTATTTAATGTGTGGCCCAAGACAGCTCTTCTTCCAGTGTGGCCCAGAGATGCAAAAAGGTTGAACATTCCTCTACACCAAGTGTAGAGGCCACAGTCACACGTCACCACTGACGGGCTCTACAACTGCATCTAGGTAACCTGCTTGACCTCCAGGCATTTCCCCCTCTGAAATGAAGTCAGTAACGGCTCCTTCCAAGGTAGCTTTGCTAGTCTGAAGAAACGTAGCATGCAGAGTACTCAGCTTGAAAAGGTCCTTTCATAGGAGTTTCATAGGTCCCTTCAGGTCACAGGCTTTTCTGGTTCAAATTCTTACATCTGAGATGCAACAAAGACATGTGCCTAGTCCAGCACAAGTGCCCTCTCTTATATTCTGCTACTTCCAAACTGAACCAATTGATGTCTTTGGAGAAACCCTTTTGTTAGTTTTTTACTTCCATACTAAAAAAAAGCTAACCAACACCTGAGCCTACTGGGAGTCATCTTTTTGCTGATGAAGGGTCTTGCTTTGATCTTGATGACTGTTAACAGATCAGGGTGATGGTTGCTAAAGGCTGAAAGCTTGTGGCAATTTCTTAAAATGAGAGCAATAAAGTTTGCCAGATCAATTGACTCTTCCTTCATGAACAATCTCTCTGTAGCATGCAATGCTGTTTGATAGCATTTTACCCATAGTAGAACTTCTTTCAAAATTGGAATCATTCACAATCCTGCTGTGATTTATCAACTAAATTTATGTAAAATTCTAAATCCTTTGATATCATGTTAACAGTCCTCATGGCATGTTCACCAGTAGATTCCATCAAAAAAAAAAAAAAAAACACTTTCTTGGCTTAATCCTAAGCAACCCCTCACTCATTAAAGTCTTTATGAGATTGAAGCAATTCAGTCACATCTTCAGGCTCCACCGATGATGGTCCTGATGATGGTGATGACGATGATAATGATAATGACTCCCTAAAACAACTAAAATAGTAACATCAAAGATCATTAATCACAGTTCACCATAAGAATATAACAATGAAAAAGTTTAAAATATTGCAAGAATTACCAAAATGTGACACAGACACAAAGTCAGTAAATGCTGTTGGAAAAATGAGGCCACCAGACCTGCTTGTTGGAGGGTTACCACAAACTTTCAGTTTGTAAGAAACACACCACCTGCAAAGTACAGTAAAGCAAAGCACAGTACAGTGAGGTGTACCCACGTGGCATGCTCCACGCCTGACACAACTGGTGGTCTCAGGTGGCCAGTAGTGAGGATTTCCGATCCTTTGCAGTAGTTGGCGTGGACGGGCACGACGTGCACATGGATCGCCTTCGCTAAACTAAAAATGCAAACACCTGATTCTGAGTCCAACAAAATGGGTGATAAAACGAATAGATAAATGCAGTTTTTAAATCTCTGCTTTTTTTCCCCTCTGTTTTGCATGGATATAATTCCTTAAAATCTATTCACAGTAGAAACCCATGATACTATATAAATGGTCTAATTTACTGACAACCACTTATATTCCCAAGACTTCAAAATACATAGATTTTCACCAAGTTCCTTCAATGCAGAGGGCATGTCATGAATTTATCTATTCAACCTCTCCCCATCCCTTGACTTTATTGATTTTTCTACCAGGAATTGATTTTACCTTTGATAATGATGGTAATGTTTCTGCAAATTGAAAGTACCACATTGAAGCCAGATCTGTGGCTTTTTCTTCCTATCTCCCTTCCATTGAATTCTATTTCATCTGCCAGCCAATACATTGATGACCCAATATTCACTTCGTCACATCTTTCTCACCAGCCATTAATACAACTGTAACATTTAAGATTCATGATTTGGTGTAGTAGGGATCAAAAGAGAGAAAGCACGTCTGTTACTCCATGTTCACTCTCAGAGCCAGGCAGAGCTGGGATTTCAAAAGCATGGTTCACAGCGAAGGGCAAATGAGTAACCAAGTCAGTGGGATTGCCCAGAACTTCCCCTATTTCACAATGGCAAAATACCCAGACACCCCACAGGGACTGCACAGGCCCTGAGCTGGAGACACACATTTAGAACCACTCATCCAAAATGATTCGGGAGAACACCTGCCAGCCACATGGTGTGCAAACAAGAGGACCCTGGAGAAGTGTTCTTTTTATTATTGTTTAGTTTCATCTTTTAAACTGACTTCCTCTTTAGAGAACTCAAGAAAGATGATGAAAGTTCACTGTGGAAGGACAGGTCATTGTGTAAGTCTGTGACGAGCATGGCCTGCCCAGCACTGAGTCCCTCTTCCTCACTTTCAAGTTCATCTGTGGGTTGAGCACAGAGAAATATTGGAAGATCCTGCCAGAGGAACTTGCCTGTAATTCCTTCAGGGGGAGCAGCCATGCCCCATGACATCTGGAGGACACATCACAGTCAGGTGGCAGAGAGCCAGCACTTGGCTGGGATTTCCAGGAGGCGAGGAAGGGGTGGAAGGCATGGGGCTGGAAGGTGGAGGTGAGGAAAGTAGGACGCATCTTCAGCCAGCCTTGAAGCATGGGTTCCCTGGTCAGAGGCCGGGCCAGTGGGAGGGCTGCAGAGGTGGGGAGGGTCACGGTCCCCTGCAGAGGGTGTGAGGTGGGACAGGTCTTCACCCCTGTGGCATTTTGAGTCTTCTTAATCACTTCTTGAAATGTATCTTTTCTCAAGAAATTCACATGTACACACACACATCTTTTACATAGGTGTTCAGGCATTTACAGACTTAATAAAGCCCAGCCTAAAAAACCGTGCCCCCCAGCTAACACTCCTGTGGTAGAGGGGCCAAGAACTAAGTACTGAGAAGTAAAGTGAGGACACTTTTCAAAGGCTTTGAACAAGGGGTGTTATTTAAAGAAAGGCAGAAATGCAGGGAGAAAGGCTGTTTCTAACTAAGCCTCATAGTGGTGAAAACAGTGCTTTAATAAGTAGATTAACTAGCATGGAATTATCTTGGAGAGAAAAGTAACGAACATAATAGAGAGTAAACAGAAAAATCTGGAATAAAAATGAATAATTCAGACAACAATAAATGTAGTGGGCTAGTTGTAGGTTTTATTTTATTCAATAATCTAGGTTACGTATGACTACAATATGTTTTCTAATATTAAATACAGTGCCCCAAATGTTGATTTTTAAGTGAGCTTCCTTCTCATTTAATAAAAAGTGATATATACATTTTCTTTTAATATTAGTAATTTGGGTTGATACTTTTCTTTCTGAAACTTGGCATTTTTATTTGTCTATTCAATAAATACTATGTGCCTATTATGTACTAGGCTTGGTGCTATAACCAATTTAATGTATTTTCTATCATCTGACTATTTTGGTATTTATACCTCTTATTTCATAAGTAGAAGAATTGAGACCCCTGAGGAGAGAAGCAGGGGTTGAAAACAGAAGTGACGTGTATCTG